TATATGTAAAGGTTTAAAAAAAAAATAAAGTCTATTAACCTGATTAAAACCCAGCCCCTCTAAGGGGCAGGGAGGACTGAGGGGAGTGGATTCTGATGGGCACATGTCACGTCCATGTCCCAGTGCAGAGACAGTTCAAGTGGAACACGCCCCATCGGAGCGTCTGCACGCCCCCCCGGCCACGCTGCTGCCCGCACGGCGATGTGAGGGCGATGCTGGGGGAAGCCGCTGCCGACCGCAGGCGGCAGCTGAGTGGAGGCCATGGGATTCCAGAAGCGTGGCTCTCACAGCGTTTTCTCCAGCAGGTGACGCACACTGTCCCTGCTGTGTGGACGGAGACCACGTGTGGAATATGGGGACAGAAAGGGAGACTCCCGAAAGCCCCCCTGCCGCCGGGCCTCCCACCCCCTGTCAGTGGTAAGTGTTCTCTCTGCTGCGGATGAGGTGGCCAGTGGCGGTCACGGCAGACAGGCGCTGTCCCTGGGCAGGGAGGAGGGGCCGGGGCTCAAGGGCAGGCTGCACACAGGGCTCAGGCCTGTCACCAAGCTGCTTGTTTTCAAGCAAAGCCCCACTGCTCCTCAACCGAAACATCATGTGAACACCTGTCCTAACTCTCCCCCCCACACACACAGTGTCAGCGACCAGGGGAGCCGTGCTGTGCACCTGCCTGCCCCTCAGGGTGAGCCCCGGTGCGTGGAGCTGCGGAGACAGGGATGCTGGGCACCGTTCCCGCTCTGCCTGTGGTGCTTCCTCCTCTGCTGCCTTCTCTGTTCTGAAAACAGAGTCCAAAGAAGCTATCCGGAGCCAAATTAACCGAGGCGGGAGCCCTCCCTCCAGGTCACGGCCATCCTGCTGTGGGTCAATGCTTCCTTAACGACAGCTCAGAGAGGCGAGCACCTACATGCCTCCTGGGCAAACAGCCATTGCTCCACAAACAAGAGCAAACTGCACTCAGGACTGTATGGGTATGGTGGGGAGAGGAGGCACAGCAAAAGCACAGAGAATGAACTGAAACGAATCACTCTAACGAAGTCTGAAGCTAAACTCCACATGCTGCCCGAGACCTGACACTGATCCAGTAGGCTGCTGCAGCAAAACACGAGGGCCATTCCAGAGCTGGTGCTTCAGCCTTTAAAAGCTCCCTGCCGGCCGGGGTCCTGTGCTGGGGGAGGGACCACGCAGCACAGGGGAGGGGGGGCGCAGGGGGCAACTGAAGGACTCAGAGAATAGTGCCTCTCAGAGACACAGCCTGGACCTGAGGCTGCAGGTCTGCAGGAAAGCGCTGGCCTCAGGGGGCACACCGCGGGCACAGCGGGGCAGAGTGTGACGGACGGACGGACACCCTCTCATGTGGCTAACCGCAGATGAGCATTGAGGAAACAAATCAAATGGGAGAAATATAAAAATTGGTAAGCCTGGGTACGAGCATAATGGGGCTCCAGGGAGCACTTATTACTATTTTTGCAACTTTTCTGCAGGTTTAAAATTATTTCAAAATTAAAAGTTAAACATCCCAGAAGGCACTTTTGTAGAAACTAACATATTGATTCTAAAATTGATATGCAAATGAAATATAGTAGAACTATAGGCCCAGTGCATGCAATTCGTGCACAGAGGGTACAGGTGGGCCCTGGGCTGTGGCTCGGGGGGGTGGGTGCCCTGGGCTGTGGCTCCATCGGGACCCTGGGCTGAGGCTCCGGTGGGACCTGCTGCTGGAGAGTCCTGAAGCATCTGCAGGGCCAGGAAGCTCCCTACCACAGAGGCCCCGTCCACGCGCTGACCCCGGGTGGCCACACTCAGTGATGCCCAAGGGCCAGCCTGTCAACACAGAAAGCAGCCCAGACCCTTGCTTACACCAGTATGACATCCTTTCAGGAGGAAATTATGTAACAATTACACCCAGAAGACATTCTAAAACTCCTGCAAATCAATAGGGAAAAGATAAATATCCTAATAAAATATGAGCAAAATACAGGCCATTCTGGTAATTTTATATATAATAATAAAAGACTAATATGCAAATCAACCATCATTTGGACATCCCCAAGGGCTCCGGGACTGCCAGAGGGTGCAGGCCAGCCTAAGGGACCCTCCCCCAGTGCTCGAATTTCGTGCCCTGGGCCTCTAGTCTCCTAAAGACACTGTAAACACCGGATTACAAATACTGAGCCACGTCTCCCCGCGGGAAAACAGACAAGCCACTGCAAGTGGTCCCGCCGGCTCCTCAGCCTCGCGTCCCTGCGTCCGCGCACGCTGCTGCTGTCACTGGCGCTGTGCTCCTGCCGGGGCTGGGCTAGGCCCGAGGAGGCCACGCCAGCCCTGCAGGCGGCAGCCTTGGCCTCTCCCCGGGAGCAAGGGCTGCTTCTGCACCTGCTGGGCCCATTTCAACAGCAAAACCACCACCACCAGCCCAACACTGAACACACCTCCAGCAAGATCCGCTGGGCCCCGCTGGCCGAGCCGGGGCGAGCGTCTGCACATCCCACACCTGCCCGTGAGCACGCCGAGCGTGGGCTTGGGGTCACAAAGACACTGTGGTGACGTAACAGGACTTGCAGGTACAAAATCCTCAAACACGAGGGTAAACTGCATGTGAACGGGCAATTCAATGGGTATTAAACCAACAAATACATGTCCTTCACCATCTACTGGTCAAATCTAATGTGAAGTTACTGCAGTTACTACCGGACCCCCGAGTCATCGGCAACATGTAAAGTCCTGACCACGCCACCTGCTGGAAGACGCGGGTGAGGACAGGCTCTGCGGGGGCTGGAGGACAGCGCTCAGCGAGGTGCCGCCTGCAGTTCTGTCCCGGCCTCGGGCCCCAGGTCTCTGGCCCACGGGACAAGGAGGCGCCCGCAGACGCCAGTGAGCAGACTCCCTCACTCTCAGGCGCTCAGACGCCAGCACGGGGCGGCCCCCAGTGCAATGAGCGCTGTGCACACGTCTGTGAACACGAGAACGGCCTGCATGTAGCCACTGAACTTCCAGATAGGAAATCCTCCTTACCAGCCTCCAAAACATGTGCTATAGGCTCCTTATCAGATACCCACATGGAACTGATGCAAAAAGGCCGGGAAAGGAGAGCAGGAGGAGTCAGAGAAGTGGCCGAAATGCAAACAAAGAGAAAGCAGCGGCAGGATCTCTGGCAAAGGAAACGCAAGGGGAAAGCATTAATAGCGACTTCAAAACAAAACACGCCACGCTAGGCAGCCCCCGGCCGCGGCCTGCAGGCCGTGCTGGCGCCTTTAAGATGGGAGCCAGAATGAGCACGATGGCTTTCACATACTTTCAGGTATCTGTGACCCAAGTGACAAAGAAAGTAGCCAATTTTAATAACACACTTCACATACGTGATCTGATATGTAGGCCACCACCAGAAAACACTGATTTGTTGAAACAACAGGACATGTTCACAAAAACTGAACATATCCAATTGGTCACAAAGAACACCTTTAACCAATACCCCGATACGATTCCACAAGAACAGGACACGGGGAGCCCTTGTCCGGGGCCAGGGGCAGCCACAGTGGCATCCAGAGGAAGGCGCCTCTGGCAGGGAGAGCGGCCCCTGCTTCTAATGCGTTTGAAGGCCAGGCTGGCGCCCGGCCGGCCGCTGTGGGTGCCCGGCCAGCGCCTGGGCCACGCGATGTGGAAGGAACCGGCAGCATCCGTCTTTGACATTTTCCTGGCACCAGCTGGAGCAGGCGATCGTTTCCCGCCACGGCTGACACGTTGCCATCCCCGGTGAAGTCCAGCCAGCTTCCAGCACACTCAGCAAAAACGTGCTGGCTGAGTCAAACCTGGGTTCGCACATAACAGCCAGAGAAGGAGAGGGGTGTGAGGAACAGATACTTACTGGAAATGGTGATTTGGGCTGTGGGTGGGACCTACAGAGAAAGAAGGGCATGTTATTTATCGTTAACGCTTCGCGATGTGCACCAAACCTGGTTCCCGCCGGCAGTGAGGGCGCCTCCGCCAGGCCCTTGCCCGGAGCTGTGCGGAGCGGGAGCCGCACCGGAGGGCGCTCTGGTGGACGTGTTTTATGTGGTTTTGTTGTTCATCCTCACCTGAGGGTAGTTTTCCCATTGATTTTTTTCAGAGAGCGTGGAAGGGTGAGAGACAGAGAAAGAAATATTGATGCGAGAGAGACACAGCCACTGATTGCCTCCTGCACGAGGGCTGGGATGGAGCCTGCAATTCAGGTCCCTGCCCTTAACCGGGGATTGTACCCGAGACCCTAACCACTGAAGGGCTTTTGGACATATTTTTTGTAGGTCTTGCTCTTTCTCTCTCCGCATCTAACCTCAATTCACAAGACCCGTTTTCCTGATCGGTGACAGGCTAGGGCATTGCAGGGGCTTCTCAAAGGGGGGCTGAAGGGGGACACACTCTTCCCAGCCATGTACCCAGCACAGAGCACAGAGCTGTCTTCGAGCTGGCTCCCCCCCTGCTGGGCCAGGGCCTGTGGCCAGGCGGTGCCAGGCCAGTGGGGGCCTCCCGCAGGGTGACTGGCCTACGACCTGCCCAGCAACCGAGGTCACGTCCTGCGTCCGGCTCGGCCACCGAGTCCCTCCGGTGCTCACTAGTGGAGGGCGGGGCCCGGTCCTGAGAGATGCCCGGGGCCGGGGCTGTGTCCAGGCGGCCAGTGCCTCCCCCGGGGGCTGTAACTCCCCCTCCCCCCCCCAGCTCAGGCCAGCCCGCCCACTCACCGAGCCGCACGAACAGCACGCCGGTGGCGGTGATGGTCCTCACACCGTTGGTGGCCACGCACTGGTAGTAGCCGGTGTCGGTGGTGTCCAGGTCCTGGATGCGGAGCCGGGAGCCGTACTCGGTCTTGCGGACGATGACGCGCCGGGGCTCCTGCACCACTGGGGCGTCGTTCTTCAGCCAGCGCAGGCTGGGCGGCGGGTGGCCCGCCACCTTGCAGTGCAGCGTGGCCGTCTGCCCCTGGACGATGGTGATGTTGTTCACCGGCTCCAGGAAACTCAGGAAGTAGCCTGCAAAGAGCCACGGGCCAGCTCAGGGCGCCTGCTGGCCACCGGCCGGGAGGCGGCTCGCCAGGCTGAAGGCGCTGCCGGTGGCTCAGCCGACCGGCTCGGAGACAGAACCGTCACGGCTCACACCCCCCAGGGAAGCGCCCAGATCACAGGGGGAGGGGGGCGCGGCTGGAAACTGCCCTGAGCTCAGCGGCAAGAGGCCCTGAGGAGCCAGAGAGGGAGTGCGGGGCTGGTGAGGTGTGCGCGTGGCATGTTTTGGGGTGTATATGTGGTAGTGCACGCACGCGTGTCTATGTTCGTGCACACGTGTGTGTGTGTGTGATGTGCGTGTGTGATATAGGTCAAGGGCTGGGGATTATTCTCTCCTTAGATAAACCCTGGAGCCGTCACAGCCCTGGCCGGTGGCTCAGCTGTGCGGCGAGCTGTCCCCCACACGGAGGTGCCAGTCCGTTCTGGACCCGGGCACACTCCTGGGTGTGGGTTTGATCCCTAGTCCGGCACACATGGGAGGAATCCATGGATATTTCTCTCTCCCCACTCCTCCCTCTCTAACTCAATAAAAACATATCCTCAAGTGGGAATTAACAAAACACACGCGCTGAAATTCCATAACGCATAAACCCAAGATTAGAGACAAGACAATCCACCATCAGGAGGTGGACTCATGCCAGACAGAACTGATACAGCTCGGTCTGGAATGACCAAAACACGTTCATGTTCTGAATCTCTTGGCTGGATTCCTGGCTGGCCCGATTCCTTTTAAAAATGAAGTGGAAAGATGGCATGTCTCTGTTATTCTTGATGCCACTGAACAGAGAATGATGGCGCCCCTAGTGGGCTCACAGGCTGACGGCCCCTCTCACGCTGAGCGGGTGGGAGCTGTGGGTTTCAAGTTGAAAGGACGGCTTCCCTCCACAAAGGAGAGTGGATAGGGGTCTGTCTGCAGAGGGGTCAGGCACTCACACTGGTTATTATGTATGATTACTATCCTATATAAGAAAAGGCTAATATGCAGATTGACCAAACAGCGGAATGACTGGTCACTATGACGTGCACTGACCATCGGGGGGCTCAACACAGGATCTGCCCACAGGGGGCACCGCTCAGCCAGAAGCCCTGAGCCAGGCTCACAGCTGGCGAGCACAGCAGCTCTGCCAGGACACGCTCCCGCAGCAGCGCTGAGGATGTCCTGCTGAGGGCCAAGGCTCCCGGACTGCGAGAGGCTAAGGGTCCTCCCCCACCAGGCGCACACATTTTGCACACCAGGCCTCTAGTCCATAATAACAAAAGTGTAATATGCTGGTTAGACTGGACGTCCTTCTGGACGACCTTTCGGACGAAGCAGGGGCTGTGAGGGCCAAGGCAAGCCACTGCAGCTGCAAGGGCCGAGCTGCTTGCATGAATTCGGTGCATCAGGCCTCTCGTCCTTTATAATAAAGAGGTAATATGCAAACGGTCCTTACGCTGTGAGAGTAACAACTGATCATCAGAAGGGTGGGGCAGCAATGTAAGAGCTGTGGAGAGCTACAGGAGGGTGGGGCAGCTGTGGGAGGGCGGGGCAGCTGTGGGAGAGTGACAGCTTTGGGAGGGCGGGGCAGCTTTGGGAGGGCGGGGCAGCTGTGGGAGGGCGGGGCAACTGTGGGAAGGTGACAGCTTTGGGAGGGCAGGGCAGCTGCGGGAGGGCAGGGCAGTGAGCTACAAGCAGTGGAGCTGTGAGTGGCGGTGGGCAGGGAGGCACTAGCCTATATATAAAAGGCTAATATGCAGAGTGTCCCCTAGGGAGTTCAAATAGGAGTTCAATCGCTCGCTATGACATGTGCTGACCACCGGGGACAACATGGAACAAAGGCCGGCCCCTGCCAGCAGTGGAAGGCCCCAAATAACATCGCCAATCACTTTCAAAACCCATGGCACTCGGATGGCCTTCTGCCTAACAGTTTTGTTCAATAGCAATAGCCTGATCACCAGCCAAGCCTATTTCGTGCACTGGGCCTCTAGTTGTTAATAAATATCCTTAGGTTCTCTTTCTTCTCTTCCTCTTTCTAAAATCAATAAACATATCCTCAGGTGATGATTAAACAAAAAGGGATGGCGAAGGTTGCTCTTTCGGGCTAGTTTCTAACAACTGATTCAGAATCATCCTGAGAAGTCCCACTGAACCGGGGTGGACGGAGCAGCTTGCAGACTCCTCCTTCAGGCCTGGGAGCAGGTCTCTCTCGTTCAGCCCTCCCCTCCCGAGGGCTGGCCTCCGCCTCACCCGCCCACGGTCACTCCAGGCAGTTTCCCAGGGTACTCTGCGTCTGTCCTTGCTGCCAGCTGAGTCGGTTTTATTTCTATTTCCATGCAAGTGGTTTAAGGCTTAGAAAACTACTAGCTATCCACATGTTGTACTAATATCTTATCACCGCTGTGACAAACCAGCACAAACTTAGTAGCATATAAAGTGACCCCAATCTATCTCATAGTCCGGAGCCAGAGTCCTCCAGAGGTCAGGAGGCAGGGTGCTGCCTCTGGGGGCGCCCGAGGTCTCCACAGCCAGCCTGGCCCCCGCCTGTCCTACGTCATCAGCTTCTCACCTCCGGCCAGGGACTGACCCCTGCGCCTCTGAGCGCGACCTCCGGGTTCACCCTGGGCCACCGGGACTGTGCAGGATCGTCTCCCGCTTCCCTGTCGCTCACCCCATCTGAAAAGTCCCTTTGGGGAAATGACACCACAGGTTCCGGGCCGGACGCCAGCCTCTGGGCGCCCGTCCCTCCGTCTGGCACCTGCTCTTCCCTTCATCCGTCACTGCACGGAGCCACCCTATTGGCTGTCATCGCTTCTCCGGTGATTGTCTTGGACTTCCGAGCTCGGCATTTCTTCAAATAACATCGCCAATCACTTTCAAAACCCATGGCGCTCGGATGGCCTTCTGCCTAACAGTTTTGTTCAATAGCAATTTTTTTTCTTTTTTTAAAATATATTTTATTGATTTTGTACAGAGAGGAAGGGAGAGAGATAGTCAGAAACATCGATGAGAGAGAGTCATCGATCAGCTGCCTCTTGCACACCCCCTACTGGGGATATGCCCGCAACCAAAGTTTATGCCCTTGACTGGAATCGAACCCGGGTCCTTTCAGTCCCCAAGCCAACGCTCTATCCATTGAGCCAAACGGCAATGCAATTCTTTCTGATTTAACAATTTAATACTGAAATGTTGCAATTTGCAAATATACAAAAATACAGGTATTAATATAATAGTATTCATGTACACAATATCAAGATTTTATGCAAACGTTTCACCATATCTGGCTTCCAACACTTAGAAAACGGAAACTTTCTACACCACTAACACTCTCCCTACATCCCCTCAGCCGCTCTGCGACCCCATCTCCTCCCGCCCCGTCACCTCCCGCCCCGTCACCTCCGCCCCATCTCCTCCCGCCCCGTCACCTCCCGCCCCGTCTCCTCCCGCCGCCCCATCTCCTCCCGCCCCGTCACCCCCCGCCCCGTCACCTCCCGCCACCCCGACACCTCCGGCCCCGTCTCCTCCCGCCCCGTCTCCTCCCGCCGCCCCATCTCCTCCCGCCCCGTCACCCCCCGCCCCGTCACCTCCCGCCACCCCGACACCTCCGGCCCCGTCTCCTCCCGCCCCGTCTCCTCCCGCCGCCCCATCTCCTCCCGCCCCGTCACCCCCCGCCCCGTCACCTCCCGCCACCCCATCTCCTCCCGCCCCGTCACCTCCCGCCCCGTCACCTCCCGCCGCCCCGTCACCTCCCGCCCCGTCACCTCCCGCCGCCCCGTCACCTCCCGCCCCGTCTCCTCCCACCGCCCCGTCTCCTCCCGCCCCGTCACCTCCCGCCGCCCCATCTCCTCCCGCCGCCCCGTCACCTCCGGCCCCGTCTCCTCCCGCCGCCCCGTCACCTCCTGCCGCCCCATCTCCTCCCGCCCCGTCTCCTCCCACCGCCCCGTCACCTCCCGCCCCGTCTCCTCCCGCCCCGTCTCCTCCCGCCGCCCCGTCTCCTCCCGCCCCGTCTCCTCCCGCCGCCCCGTCTCCTCCCGCCCCGTCTCCTCCCGCCCCGTCTCCTCCCGCCGCCCCGTCTCCTCCCGCCCCATCTCCTCCCGCCCCGTCACCTCCCGCCCCGTCTCCTCCCGCCGCCCCGTCACCTCCCGCCGCCCCGTCTCCTCCCGCCGCCCCGTCTCCTCCCGCCGCCCCGTCTCCTCCCACCCCGTCTCCTCCCGCCGCCCCGTCACCTCCTGCCGCCCCATCTCCTCCCGCCCTGTCTCCTCCCGCCCCGTCTCCTCCCGCCCCGTCTCCTCCCGCCGCCCCGTCACCCCCCGCCGCCCCGTCACCTCCCGCCCCCCCCCCGTCTCCTCCCGCCCCGTCACCTCCCCCCGCCCCGTCTCCTCCCGCCGCCCCGTCACCTCCCGCCCCGTCACCTCCCGCCGCCCCGTCTCCTCCCGCCCCGTCACCTCCCGCCGCCCCGTCACCCCCCGCCGCCCCGTCACCTCCCCCCGCCCCGTCTCCTCCCGCCGCCCCGTCACCTCCCGCCCCGTCACCTCCCGCCGCCCCGTCTCCTCCCGCCGCCCCGTCACCTCCCACCCCGTCTCCTCCCGCCGCCCCGTCACCTCCTGCCGCCCCATCTCCTCCCGCCCCGTCTCCTCCCGCCCCGTCTCCTCCCGCCCCGTCACCCCCCGCCGCCCCGTCACCTCCCGCCCCCCGTCTCCTCCCGCCCCGTCACCTCCCCCCGCCCCGTCTCCTCCCGCCGCCCCGTCACCTCCCGCCCCGTCACCTCCCGCCGCCCCGTCACCTCCCGCCGCCCAGTCACCCCCCGCCGCCCCGTCACCCCCCGCCGCCCCGTCACCTCCCCCCGCCCCGTCTCCTCCCGCCGCCCCGTCACCTCCCGCCCCGTCACCCCCCGCCGCCCCGTCACCTCCCGCCGCCCCGTCACCTCCCGCCCCGTCTCCTCCCGCCGCCCCGTCACCCCCCGCCGCCCCGTCACCTCCCCCCGCCCCGTCTC